CAAATTTTTCTGTACTTTTATATATTTTTACCATTTTCCATATATATATATATATATATCCTTTATTTCCTATAACTGAAATTAAAAAAAATAACTCTAGGTAGATATCACCTCATATCTTTTAGCACAGCTGATGGTACATAACACCCAACCCATAGAGAACCAATACAAATAACAAAACCAAGCAAGAGAAAACATAACACTCAACCCAAAGAGAACCATAACAAAATGAATGAAAGAAAACTGAACACCTATCCCAAAGAGTATCATAAAAAACCAACCCAGAAAAAATATAAGACCCAACCAAATGAGAACCATAAAGAACAACCCAATAAAAAAAAAAAACATAACACCCAACCCATAGAAAACCAGTAAACAAAAAAAAACTAACCAAGAGAAAGCATGACAAAGAGAACCATGAAACGCAAGTCAGAGGAAAAAATAAGAAAAACAGGACAAGAGGAGCCATAAAAGTCAACAGAGGGGAAAGAAACTCCATAAATAACAAAAGCCTAGAGCTATAAAGCATCAAGATATATTACAAATTACATGTCCAATGGATGCCCAGTGGTACCTTATCATTTATCCTTTCTAGAGATAATCATAAACATAAGGTAAAAAGAAAACTCCTGCAGATCACATGACAAGATAAAACTGAATTAAACTGTGACATTATTTTGTTTTTACTTACTAGGTGAATGGAGCAGCCGTGAATGTTTGCAGTGATAGACCACTTCCTGTTCGCAGTATTCCACACTGTTGATCACGGCCTCCAGCTGTTCAGCACTGGCGCTGTAGTTAAATGTGGCTGAGTACGGCCTCCCAGTAATGGATCCGCGTACAGGAGTTAGATCGGTGATGTTGTGCTCAACAATGGTCCAGACTTTCTCTTCTGTTGGAGACATTTAAACATATCCAGTGGTGAAACAACAACATGTACTGCATATTACTCACCACTAACAACAACAAGTATCCCTGAATCCCCCCAAATTATTTGTATATTATGGAATTCACATAAGGTCTGTTTTATAGACTAGAATGTCATATCACTGTCTGAGTCATCAATCCCTTTCAACGGAAGCAGCTAGAAAATTTACTTAAACAAAATGAAATGCACCTTAAACCAGATCTTCAGTGTTGCAGATGGGTGCTCACAGGTATGAATTCAGGTATGAATGAAGTCAGGTATGTGGACCCTATCTACTACACTGGCAGGGACACTTAGAGAAAAGGGTCCAAGCAATGTAGGCTGATGACTCCCAGAGCTGGAGTACAAGCACGGGAACTGAATGAGGCAGTGGAAGAAAGAATAGGCTGGTGGGACAAGGTACAGGGCAGGGTGCTACAATGATAGGTGGCATGGGGTCCTCCAGGATGTGGAATCTAAGGGCCAGCCGGGGTTCATCAGAGCTCCTGATGTGGAGATGGGCCTGGCTGCGTGCTGACCCCAGGTCACAATCCCTAGGCCAGAGTTCTGGACAGTTTGCAGACACACATACAAGGGACAAAACAAAGGTCAGAGACAGACAGAGGACCGGGACTTCCAGGGACAATCCGAAGACTGGAATTTCCAGGGAATAGCCATAGGATAGGGACAGACAGAAGACTGGGATCACCAGGGACAAGTCAAAGTTCAGGGCAGACTGGGGACAAGGATCTCCAGGGACAACCCAAAGGTCAGTACACAGAAAAACTACAAGGCATTCAGGTTCAATCACAAACAAGGGGCTCAGGATCTAGCTTAGGAAAGCGTTGCTCGGGAAGCGTGCCGTTCGCTGCCATGAGTTTAAATAAGAGACAGAAAGAGGGAGGATCCACAGGATTGGCCACAAGCGGACTGTACTGATTGGCCGTGAAGCTGCATGAGAAACAGCAGGAAAGGTCGGCCGACGCCTAAAGCTTGCAGACAGGTGCAAGAGTGAAGGTGGCCATACACTTTACAACCATCGCAAGACCTTAGTCTTGCGATGGTTGTAAAGTAATTAAAAAAACATACGATCTGCCCATCTTGGACAGGCAGATCGTACTCTCGATCATCGCAAGCCGCCCCCCTGAGGGGCGGGCTTCCGATGACCGCAATGCTGAAGGTCAGTGTGCGCGTGCGCACACCGGCCTGTTCGGCATTTGTCTCCTTTTCGGCTGGTTTTCTAGGGTGCTCCTTAGACAAAAGACGTGCGACCGTACAGTAGAAACGGTCGCACGTCTTCGTTCACACTTCTCGATTCTCGTACGATCGCGGGATTTCCCGCAATTCTCGTACGAGAATCGAGCAGTGTATGGGCACCTTGAGTCAGGTTCAGAGCACATGCCTGGAGGACTACAAGCACCAGCACAGCCCAGCATGCCTGCAGAACCAGGGGTAAGAGGTATGTATATACTTGTAGAACTGCAAGTCTGCAGCTGAACTGTGGCATTCAGCACATTGAGCCCATTAGGTGCTATCACAATGCAGAATGCTGGAATTCGGGAGTGCTTTAGGCACTGGGAGCTAGAAGCATTCAGGCAACTTAAAGGCTCAAGGAACACATAGAGTCCTTCACCAAGTATGGGGCTGAGAGGTGACATAGGACTCTGCTGATGATGGTGTCACCCCCTGGCTACATAGGGAGGTAGAGATGTGTCAATCACAAGACTGAGTTATGCTGTACATAAATAAGAAATGGAACGCACCTTTAACCAGATCTACAGCACTGTGAGCCCATTAGGTGTTTTCCCAATACAGGGTGCTGGAATTCGGCAGTGTTTCAGGCACTGGGAGCTAGAGGCGTTCAGGCAACTTAAAGGCTCAAGGAACACATAGAGTCCTTCACCAAGTATGGGGCTGAGAGGTGACATAGGACTCTGCTGATGATGGTGTCACCCCCTGGCTACATAGGGAGGTAGAGATGTGTCAATCACAAGACTGAGTTACGGTTCTGCTTAAATTCATCCATGAAGTCTATATTTTAAGATTAAAAAACATGTTTAGTAGCCTTTACACATACGCTGCAAACAAAGATACCCTTTACAAGGTCTGTTCATTGCGCCTTCATCAGAATGGCCCTCTCCCTGATGCATTTCATCTTTCTTTTTTTTCAACCAAATAGTTAATGGATGCTGCGTGGCAGAGAATGAAAAGCTATCAAAGAGCCTTTCAAGATTTATGGAACATATAAACTAAGATAACCTTCCTCTCCTCATTATCCCTCTCGCTTTAATATCATTTGCCGCCATTAAGCCGGAGAGATATTATTTTATCACCCTTCAACGGGTACCATTCCGAGGCGCTTCAGGAGAACCGCAGAAGAGAAGAAAAAAACCACAGAGCCGAGCAGTAAATATTACAGGATTCATTGCTCGGTCCACCCATGCAAAGGTACATTCATCTCGGGGAAAAGAACAGTTTTAAGAGCTGCTTAAACTGCTTTCCAATGCAAAGGTGACAATGCTTTAATTCTGGGCTAATGCTACACCTTCATGACTTGGCACGTTTAGTTCTTTTGTCCAATTTAGCAGAAGATGCTGTCGGCACTCAGTTCTGGGAGACAGTTTTACAGCTGGAGACTGTGGTGCAGGCAGATAAGCTCGGATGGCTCTGCTTGATAAGCCCTCATAACGAGTGTGCTATGAGTGGGTAAGTCACACAGCAGAGTACAAGAACATATGTAGGCTGGAGGAAGACCCAACATGCATTAAGTTGTTGATTGTAGATATATTAGTGCACTTGTAACAACACATGCACTGTACCTGATATTTATTTTATTTGCATTAACAGTTAAATTTGAAGGACAAACTTTCAAGGGTCTACTCCCTTCTTCTAGGTCCAAGCAATACTGCTATACTTGGACCTAGAAAAAGGGGTTATACTAAAAGGTATATTGCTATATAAAAGCAAGCTGTATGTCAAGATTTCTTGCCCTTCCTTGTCCAATTGCTTGCAGCATAACTTGTGCAGTGTCTGTGACACTGCCGTTCCTCTTTGGTGCCCTCTTATGACCAAACCCCTAAACATCATCATTCTGCAACAACTGCCAAAACTCCTAACAAATTCCATCTCAGAGTGATGATTCAAACACCAGCTCACTATTTAACCATCAGCTTGTCCATTCAGTCTCCGCTCTTGCGTGTGTTCTGATCTACCAAGTGCTCTGCTGTTGTTCCTGTTCCCCGTGTATGACCCTGACTCTGATCTCCTGGTTCCTGACTCCGGCTTTGTTTCCATTCATCCTGTTCTCAGTGTTCCCTGATCTGGTTTACCTGACTACCCGCTTTGGCATCTGACCTCTGGCTTGGCAGTGACGACATCCTGGACTTTCTCTATTGTTTTATTGCATTTATGTTAATTGTTGTTTTCAATAAACTCCTTTTATTTTTGAACCTGCACTTTAAGTTTCTATCTGGTTTCTTGGTTCCCTAACACTGTAGGACTGCCTTAAAGGGAGACTATAAGGTCCCATTCACACCACAACTTTTTGTTGCGCGATTACCGAGCACAACATCACTTAAGATAAAGAATACTATTATTCTCAATGGGCCTGTTCACTCTTGAGCTCTTTTTGTTGTTGCTTTTTGTGTGAAACTCGAAAGGGTACATGAACTTCTTTTAGGGCAAAATCGTGCACTTTTGGCCCCATAGACTTTGGAGCACCTAAAAAAACGCTTGTGTTTGTACACATTTTCCAGACGCTCCCATTAAAAAGTCAATGGGGCCAAAAACACACAATTCTGCTACCTATACTACAAGTTACAAGCAGAAACAAGCAAAAAGCACATGTACAAACACACCAAAAACAATATGCCCACTCTTAGATTTTTATGTATATTATTATTTATTATTTTAATTTTATTTTATGCAATATATTTCATTTACAAATAAACATTTAATAGAAGGTGCACCCATGACACTGTTGTCACAAAGCTAAGGGTTTTTGTAAAAGATAAAAGAGCAGAAGCTGTTTGCCATCAGACTTTCACTATCTTGAATGAAACGCTGAGTAGGCAAAAGAGGGGGAAGGGGGGAATGCCACCCCTCTGACTGCTCTTCTGACTATGTGTGTATACTTAAGCTGAAGCTATTGGGTTCTATAAACGTGTTCAACAAAGCCAAATATAGACAGTAAGTGCGGGAAAGAAGCCTATAACCCTAGATAAGTGTAATCAGAAGGAAGCATAATCTTTTGCAGAGCACACAGCTCGTGCTATGACTTAAGGAGGGGGATGTCATGCTGCTAAAGAGGGACCATTGCTTCCAAACAGAGCACAGGTAGTCCTTTTGAGCAGCATGCTGGCAGGCAAGGGATCGGTTTTATGCTCAAGGCTGACTTTACACAACTTTTGCTTTCATGCACAAAGAGGGAATTTAGCTAATTTAAAATGTAAGATCAGTCGAGCTTTAATTAAATTATGAGGGAATTGCCCATGCCTAGTCACATGACAACTTATAAGCCAACTGGCCAAGTACTTTCAATCCCTTGAAAAGAAGGAGCCTGCACATAAAACCTGCTGTGCTTTCTAAACGATCTACCCTACCGGGATGTAAAAACTCCTTCAGTTAAAGCTGGTGTCCTGCAATTTTAGCCCCTAAATTAAAATATAACTTCCGGTGCAATGTTTTTGGGTGAAAAGATACAAAAAGCAATACAGTATTTATGGCTCTAACTATAAATATATAGAGAGGTGGTAGATCCTCCAGATCCATCTGATCATTATTACAACTGCAAGCTGCTTGTAAGGGGATAGAATTTGCTAGTCAATTGTAGAACTGCAGAATTGCTATAAACTAACACTTATCTTTCTTCTCCTCTTCTAGTCTTATTACTGGGGGCTCGGTTTGTCAGGTGCAGTACTAATTGGACAATCAGTCATTTAAATATTGGGGGATGTCATTATGTGGCAAAGGTGGCAGGTGATACC